AAAGACATGAACAGACACTTCACAAAAGAAGACATTCGAGCAGCCAACAAACACATGAAGAAATGCTCAACCTCACTAATCATCAGGGAGATGCAAATCAAAACCACACTGAGATACCACCTAACTCCAGTCAGAATGGCAATTATCAACAACTCAAAAAATAACAGCTGCTGGAGAGGGTGTGGTGAAAAGGGAACACTTCTACACTGTTGGTGGGAGTGTAAACTAGTGCAACCTCTGTGGAAAGCAGTGTGGCGATTCCTAAAAGCTCTAAAAATTGACCTTCCATATGACCCTGCAATCCCCCTACTGGGAATATACCCTGAAGAACACAAATCACTCTATAAAAAAGATACCTGCACACGTATGTTTATCGCAGCATTGTTCACAATAGCAAGAACCTGGAAACAACCATGCTGCCCATCAAAAGAGGACTGGATTAAAAAAATGTGGTACATATACACGATGGAATACTACGCAGCCATAAAAAAGAACAAAATCATGAATTTTGCTGCAACCTGGATGGAACTAGAGTCTATAATACTGAGTGACCTCTCACAAAAACAGAAATCCGAATATCACATGTTCTCACTCATATAATGGACCTTGAACATCCAATGCAATACTATAAGAAAATGACTGATGGTACTGGGAAACTATGGGGGGGAGGGGGATGGGATTAACAGTAGCAAATATCTGTCGGGGGATGGGAAAACACTTCTTATCTACAGGGTGCCTGAATGAAACGTCATTGTACACCTAACCCTTAACTGTACCCCACAAAACCATAATAAAAAATACTGATTAATGAAAAAAAAAAAAAAAGTAAGGTAACAAAAAAAAAAAAAAAAAAAACTTCCAATAAATATAAGCGCCACAAAAGCAGAGATTTTGTGTCTTGCTGACTGTCATATTCACGGTGCTTACAATGGTGTCTGTAAGTCAGTAAACACTCTAAGAATTTACTGCAAGAATGCAATAGAATAGATGAGAATGAAAGAGGATGAGAGAAATAGACTCTGGGTCAAAAAACTGATCTTATAGAAGACTAAAGACATAAAAGTAAAAAGAAAATGCAGACAAAGATAAGAGAAAAGCATTAAGAGTCACAGGGAAACCAATGACAGAGATATTACAGAAGACATACAGGTGAGTTTCAAAAAAGAAGAAATGGTGAATTGTGTCATTCTCAACAAAAGTGTTTACTTTTACCTACCTTGCGTGGTTGAAAATCATATTTCACACAGTGCTGAAAACCTTTTCCTTTGGACTTCAGTGATGTGACTATTAAACAGTTACCAACGAAATGAGCAGAGTAACCAACTCCTTTGCTAGTACGAAAACTGTAAAGAAAACTTAGAATAGTATTAATATCCTATGATAAAAATAACTATCTAGCCTATCAAAATTCTTATAAAAATAAAACTTAATTCCCAAAGAGTACAAGGGACTTAACACGTACCAAATAAAAGCCAAACTAAAACATCAAAGGATTAGAATAACTGAAAGAAAAGAAATTTAAACCGGGAAATAGAAATCTATGGAAAATTTTAATATTTCAATTTTAAGTATGATAAATACATAAAAATAAATTAATGGCCAACAAAAGCTTACCAAGTAGACTTCATCTACCTTTAAGGACCATATGAAATCAGTCGGTACGGAATATATTTACACATAGTTCCATTTTTAAAAAACAACTTGCTCTCTAGTTCTGGTATATCTTTGAAAATAGCTTCCAAATATATTAAAAAAAAAAAAAAAAGCAACAGCAACTTGTTAAGAGCCAAGTTTGAAAAATAATGCAGTTGAACAAGCAAAAATATACGTCTTTAGTTTTTAAAAAAAAATCCCATAGGTTGGAAACCAGACCGGGCAACTTGCTGAGACCTTGTCTCTACAATAAAAATTAAAAAAAAAAGCCGGGCATGGTAGCATGCGCCTGTAGTTCTGGCTACTTGGAAGGTTGAGTCAGGAGGATTGCCAGAGCCCAGCAAGTCGATGCTGGGGTGGCCATGAATGTGCCACTGCACCCCAGCCTGGGCAACAGAGTGAGATTCCAACTCAAAAAAAAAAAAAAGGAAAAGGGTGAAACTAAGAAATATAGTTCTTTTCATCTAGAGGAGCACATCTCCTAACTGAGAATTCAATCATAATGTAGAAAAAATGTTAAGTGCTTTGAAAAATGAGGCTATCACTGAAATTAATGTATAATCTCTCAAAATGACGGTGCTGGAGTCCAACCCCATTTACATTTGGAGGTTCAAATGCTAAAATCGCCTCTCATTATTATCCATATATAATATAATAGATCTTACAAGGTAGTAATAGCTCACATCATTCACTCATATTGCTGAGCCAGCCATTGTACAAGAGCTTTAAATCCCAGGGGATAGGTACTATTACTATCCTTACTCTATAGTTGAAGACACCAAAGCACAGGATTAACAGTAAGTGGTGAAGCCAGGACTTGAACTCAGGCAGTGCTTTTGTTTTTAAGCTTTTTTAAAATTTTTATCTCTTATTTTTACAGCAGCAATAGAATCACTATGTTGCCCAGGCTAGTCTTGAACTCCTGGGCTCAAGTAAGAGCACAGGTCTCAGCATTCCAAAGTGCTGGAATTACACGTGTCAGCCACAGCGCCTGGCCAGGCAGTCTTATTTCAGACCATTGCAAGTATTAAATGAGTCATTATATGTAAGCATTTTCAATGCCTAACACACAGTAAGGCAATCAATGAATGTTTGCTGTTCTTATTAGTAAGTATGCTGTCTGTGCATTATTGGAATACTAAAATAATCAACCTTTCAGTCCTTACATATCAACCCATTGTTGGGTTGATCAACTCATTCTTCTGATTATCTAGATGAAATAATCCTATCCTATTATCATTTCTTACATGGTTACTATTAATATTTTTAAAAGCATGTTAATTATGCTCATAGAACAAAGTCAGTGAAAAGGCAAAGTGAATGAAATCTGGTAGGAGCTTGGTTTCTTCCTCTCCTTGATCAGGGACCAGGAATCTTCACTAAAAAAACCCACAGCAGATGCATGCTGAAGCAGAATAGGACAGAAGGTTTGTAACCCAGATTGCAAATGAGAAATAATAATAAAAATAGTGAGGCAGGTCACCTACAACCAACAGTAAAATACATACACAAATACATACAACTGATTTTACAGTCTTTATAGTTTTAACACATACATATTCTACGTAAAATGTTGCCTTGATATATTATACATTTATAGAACTGAAGTACTTAAAGACAAAAGTCAGAAAAGTAATTATTACTTACCAATAAAGATAAGGCTTATCCTTATCAACATTAATGTTATTTAATGGATCCATACGAAACCAAGTGTTTAGGGTGAAGCCATTCTGATAAGGCCACTTTGCAATAGGAGGCAATGCAATTGCCTACAAAGCAATGAAAAAAGATACAAAAGTACCAGCTGAAGAAAATGTGATACAGCTAAATTCAAATATAGCTTTCAGAGATTAAAAAAGAAACAATGCACAAATATCAGAAAATCATGAATATAGAAAAAAAAACTATTATCTTGTTAAAATAATCTATAAATATTATTGGCTGATTATAGAAGCACTGTACTTTCACATACTCAGTTGAGTTAAATTTCATCTCTGGGTTACATAGTAGGTTTCAGACTATACTCCAAGAAGTCCCCCTCTAGTTTTACCAGTATACAGCCCCTTATACATATGCCCCAGAATTTAAGTTTTCTATGGCTTATGCTGGGTGTTCAGTAATATTCATTTGGCTAGGGAGGATGAATCTTCAAAGCCAAATAAAAACACTGTGCTAGAAAATGTTAACAGAAATTATGTTAAAGAAATGCAAGTATTAAGAGCTAATGCTCTTAACACTGAAACAAAGGAAAGCATGAGTTTTATTATACAGAAACGTAACCACTGAAATTTATAACTAAAAAAGATTCGGATTCACTCATAATAGGAAAGGAGTAATACAGTAGGACTCAGTTGATAATAGCAATCAAATAAAATCTAGCCATTCTAAGGAATAAATGAGAAAGTGGTTCATTACTTGATTTTATTTCAAGAAACATCTGAGCGAATGTATTTGTTTTCCTAGAAGTGATTCTAATTCCACATAAAACATAATTATCTATTATGATTTTACAACTGATCTGTTCCCCAAACAAATCCATATTATTGGTAATAGCCTTTCCCGAACATAACATGTAGCTTCCATATCAAAAATACTCTGCATATAAAATAAAGTTTAAATGTCTTCAGGCTATACAAGACTCTTCACACATGCTCTGGCTCCAATAAACCCATTCAATTTTATTCTCTTCTACTGCCTGACCACACATTTTCAAAGTATGCCTAAATATACCTGTTCCACCTGTTCTTTTTACAGTCCCTCTTTTTGTAAATGATGCTGCTTCTGTCCAAAACATTTCCCCATCCAACAAAATCCCAATTATCCCTCACTACCAAGCTACTATGTTCTGCATCTGTATAGCTTATCTGGACTTCAACCCATTTTAGTTTCTCTTTTTGTTGTTTTCCACACCTCTCGGTATCTAAATCTACAGGAACCCTTGTAACTCTTATTGTAACAAGCTGTGTTTGTACATCTACATATGAGAGTTCTTTAAGAGTATAGAATCTAAACTCCTAGCATCATGATTTAAGATATAGAAAACATTCAATATGTAGTCAATGAATAATCTCAAAGTGGCTAAAGATGTATAAGTGCTTGCTGTTAAAAACTCTCTCTTAATTTCAAAGAAAGAGTTAAACTCTACAAATGAATTAAAAATTCCCATACAATGTCTTTTCAAATTTTAATGTCCAAGCAATTAGTTCAGCCAGCTAAATTGTAAAATAATTATAGCTTTTCTTGATTTTTTAAAAAGGGAAATATTTTACCTTCACCTAATTGATGACCTATATTAAAATATATAATGAACTCTTAGACCAATAAGATAAACAACCAATTTTTTTAATGAACAGGATATTTGAACACAAACATCACAAAAGACATAAACTAGCCAACAAACACATGAAAAAACACTCTATCATAAGTCATGAGGGAAATGTTAAATTAAAACTACAATGGGATAGCATTACAGTAGTGTCTCTTTATCTGTGGTCTTGTGGTTTCATGGTTTCAATTAGTTATGGTCAACCAAAGTCCAAAAATAGGTGAGTACAATACAATAAGATATTTTGAGAGTGACCATATTCACATAACTTTTATTACTGCATATTGTTACTATTGTTCTATTTTATATAACTTCAATAACTTTGCTGTTAATCTCTTATTGCACCTAATTTATAAGTTACACTTTATCACAGGTATGTATGTAGAGGAAAAACGTGGTATGTATTATATATAGGGTTCAGTACTACACCCAGTTACAGGTATCCACTGTAAACATAGTGGTTGTAGAACATTCACCCACAGATAATGGGGGGTTACTGTACAGAACCATCTAAATGTTCCAAATTGAGAAGACTGAAGTTGTCCAGGATGCAGATCATCTGGGACACTCATGCAATGCTAATGGGAATGCAAAGTTTTCCATTATGGAAAACAATCTGACAATTTCTCACGAAGGTAAACAGACATTTACCATAAAACCCTGCAATCTCACTGAGGTATTAAATCAAAAGAAAACATATGCCTGAAGAAAGATCTGTGCTCAGATGTTCACAGTAATTTTCTTTACAACAGTCAACAACTAGAAACTCAAATGTCCTTCAACTAATGAATGGATAAACTGTGGTGTATCCATAAAATGCAATTCTACCCAAAATAAAGAAGACAGAATAAACTGCTGATTAAGGCTACAACACAAATAATTTCAAAAGCATTATGGTAGGTAAAAGATGCTAAACACAAAATACTACATACTAGATGTATGATTTTATTTATGTGACAATCTAGGAAAGGCAAAACTATAAGAGCACAGAATAAATCAGAGGTTGTAAGAGATGGGGCTGGGGAAAAGGGGTTGAATTCAAATAGTCATAAAAAACTTTGGGAGAGTGATGACATTGTTCTAAATTATGATTATGGTAGTGGTTATATGACTATTCAAAATTCATCAAATTGTACCTTTCAAATTGGTGAATTTTGTATGTAAATGGAGATGACCTAAAAATAAGTAAGTAAAAATAAGCACATGTATTTAAAACTTACCGCAGCACTACAACCAGGGAAATTGAAAAAAGTATCAGGACCATGTCTTTGTGGCATCTGATTAAGAACTGATAATAATTTTACTGCATGTCTTGGCTGAGGAAACAATAAGAAAATTTCATTGTACAAATTTAGCAATGATAATACACCACATTAGCCACTGGACCATTTTCTAACTAGAGAGAAAATTAATTTTAAATCATTTACTAAACATTTACTAAATCATTTAAGAGGAAAACAATTTCCATTACGAATTCAAGCATATAGCTCTCTAGAGACAAACTGATGAACATTAAGTATTAATGGACCGATACTGAATACTTTTCCCGCTGACCACAGCTTACCCAGATTCCACTCTCTCCTCGAAGCATGCTGAACAAGAGCTTCAACTCCTTGACAGTGATGCTGTAGCTGGCAAGAACCCCCAACATATCAACTAGAAGATCTTCAAAGGAAAATAAAGTTATTCTGAACTCTAGTCATGAGCTGCCATCTGTCAAGGTAATATACTTTTTGAAAGATAAAAGGTTATCAATTGTCATTTCTACATACATATGTATCTAAGGCAGTTAAATGGTTTCATGAATAGCTATTATAATTAACAATTTTTAAGCTATCAGATAACAAAAAGGATATGTTTGAATTATAGGATTTTCCCCCACTAGATTTGTCATTCCAATTATGTTTTTTTAGCAGATATAAGAAATACATTTTATACATTCCCAGAATACACAAATACACACACACATACACACACACACACACACCTGCTATATACAGGGAAAGAGAGGTAAAAGTATGTAAAGGCACAACGATTTGACATTGACAATAGGTCATTCTCAACTGAAAAGTGATAGCTGATGATGCTATCTTTCAGAATTATCTATTCTAATAAAATATATTATTGGAATATTATTTGATCCATTAAAAATAATTGTGAGTGCCGGGCTCGGTGGCTCAGCCTATAATCCCGCACCTTTGGGAGGCTGAGGTGAGTGGATTGCCTGAGCCCGCAGGTTCGAGACCCGCCTGGGCAGTGAGACCTCATCTCTACAATAAATCAAAAAATCAGCCGGGCGTGGTAGCGCATGCCTGTAACTCCGGCTACTTGGAAGGCTGAGGCGGAAGGTTCGCCGGAGCCCAGTAGGTTGAGGCTGCGGTGGCGGGGAGCGGCCACTGCACTCCAGTCTGGGTGACGGGGTGAGACTCCAACTCAAAAAAAATAATAATAATTGTGAGTACTCATTCTATGTGGGGCATTATTCCAAGTGGTATATATGTATTAATTTCCCAAATTCTCATAACAAGCCTATGAAGTAAGTGCCATTATTATCCCCTTTGAAAATGAGTAAATTGTGGCAGAGAAAACTTACTACATTGCCCAAGAACACACAACTAGCCAAGGGGTAAAGACAGAACTCAGATCCAGGCAGTGTGGCTCTAGAACCCTCACTCTTACATATAAGTCTACAAATAGAAGTGTATGACTAGTTATATCCATTATGCTGATGTGTTTATGTGACTATAACAGACACACAAGCTCACCAATGAATGAGAAAAAAGTGTACATTTAATCTTTTGTCTATGATAACTTTCTCTGCAAACTGTGATTAATACCTCTGCCAATTGTTTTATGCAAGAAATTAAACATCTAAACATCCTTCGTTTTCTCTATTTCTAAAGCACTTCTAAAGAATCAAATATATTATACAAGTTATTACAAACCAATATACAATGTATTCTAAAAGTTTATAATTAAATAATTCAAAATGTTAGATTATGATAAAGAAATAATGAGTTATTCGTTATTGACATATCCAATGTATCTAATATCAGACTAATAACTAAAATTTGAGACTTTAAAAATTACTTATTTATTTCAAAATAAAAATGAATACAGTTATTTTCATCAATTAATAATTAACTTATTCTTAAACAATAAGCAAGCAACATCTATGATAAAATTGTGACAATGGATATGCTGTTTTTGAGAGTAGTCTTTTAATGAAACAAAATGCTTCATCATTTAAGTAACAAAAATGTATGAAAACATTAGTACATATAAGAAGGTCTATTTCTAAAAAAGAATCCTAGATAAAAATCAAATACCTGAAAAATCCTAAGCTAATATGAATCATTTTTAAGTAATTAGCTGCAATGGTAACCTTCATAGATGATTTCTTAACGGTTTACATAAACCACTTTGAAGGAAAAAAAATGAACTTCTATTTGCAAACCTTTATCTTATCTCAAAAAAGATACTTTATGTATGTTAAAAAAGTAACCTATTAAATTTGTATTTAAATTTTTTTTAAAACCCCTTATATATTGTATATGTAACCCAACCAAGCAGTTTAGTTTAATTTTATTGTAGAAGGACTTCCTTTCTGGACAAAAAGATTTTTAAAACAGATAAAATACTGAAACTGTTTAGTCAATTTACTATAAACATTTAAACACCATCCAGTGACACTTTTGATGCATGATTAACTGGAAAGCAGTTCCTTGAACGCCAACATGTTCCAACACATTCAGAGATAAAAACTTAGTATGCTTTGGTAGCCACTGGTTCTTCCTTAGTATGATATTTACATTTTAATTTCTCTATTAAAAAATATGATAGGGGCCCGGCTCGGTGGCTCAGTCTGCAATCCCGCGCCTTTGGGAGGCTGAGGTGAGTGGATTGCCTGAGCCCGTGGGTTCGGGATCCACCTGGACAGCGAGACCTCATCTCTACAATAAATCAAAAAATCAGCCGGGCATGGTAGTACATGCCTGTAATTCCAGCTACTCGGAAGGCTGAGGCGGAAGGATCACTGGAGCCCAGCAGGCGAGGCTGCAGTGGCTGGGAGCGGCCACTGCACTCCAGTCTGGGCGACAGAGTGAGACTCCAACTCAAAAAAAATATATATATGATAGGGTATTTTTCAGATATTCATTCTCTTCTCATATCAGGATCTTTTGAAGGAAAATGCTAAAAATCACAAAAAATAAAAATTTTGTGTTATCCATATTACTATTACTAAGAAAAGGAATAAGAGAATGAAAGACCTTCATATAACAGAAAATGTCAAGTTACAAATTTCTCTGGTACTATTACCCCCTCACTGTCAATTCACATCTCAGTGTTAATGAATTATGTACCAATAGACTACTAAGCATTTAATTTTGGCCCATTTTCTAAACTATACCACTTTATTTACAAAAAAATAATAAAAGCTTAAGCTCAGATGTAAGTATCAAAAGATCATATGATGTTCTATACAACATGAGTACATATAAATTTATATAAACAAATTCCTATGAAATAACTCTAGAATTTACAGGAATGGGACCACATATCTTCTTTCAAAACAGTATTTTCAGAAATACTGTTTCAAAGATACTATTTATTTTTCTGATAGATTTCATTGCACTTACTCCAAAGCACTGAGATTTCCTAAAACTTAGCAAAGCAAAATTTGTAATTATGTTAGTCCTCTTCTATTCTTCAGGTTTTACATTAATATAAAAGACAAATTTTCCGTATGTTTTACATTTATTTTAAATCAAGGTTGTTTCAACAAATCTATATTACCTGTAGAATATAAAAAGAAGTATCTGAAACTACATTAACATTTAAATTAATCTTTCCTGTCAGATAACCCCATACCTGCTATCATGTCATCTACAGCACTCATTTTCAGCAACACTTGTTCAATTAGCCCAACTTCTGTGCTAGTCTGTAAATTTCGAACACTTTTTCGCAGAATGGCTGTAAACATGCTCCATATTTCTGCTTGACATGTCACGTCACAGTGCTCCAAAAGCTCTGTCATGCATGTTATGCTCTCAGCATCCTGGATAATAAAGTTCATCTCCAAGTCAAATTCTCCACCAACCAACTGAAAGTAAGCAGAAGTAACGGCAATAACATGAGAGACTATTCACAACAATAAAATACCAAAAATTCAACTAGCAAGAAAGCATAGCTACTCTAAAAATTTCAAGTCTTTTGGTGTAAAACTAATTTTGATAGAAAGTTTAAAAGCTACAGTTAAGTAAAAGGCATGCTAAGAATCGAAACTAGCAAACAGAAATCTAATTTTCACACAAATGAAAAGGGTAATTTCAAATCAGGAAGAACAGAGCAAACTATAGCATGTTATTACTGGGTGAGATTCAGGAAAATTTATTAAAATAAGGGTTTGGCCTTTAAAAGTGATAATCAATAGAAAATACAGAGTTCACTAAGGATAAATTTTAAGACATGAAATTCATTTTCTTTTTTGATGTTACTCAACTTATAGATAAAAAGAGAAGTAGCTAGGACTAATCTCCATATATAGAAAATGAAGAAAAATGAAATGTACTGATACAAGCACAATTTGAAATGATGGAATGAATTGTTAAAAAATAAGTTTAACATACAAATATGTGAAGTCTTGTGATACTTTTTATCATAATCACAAATGTGAATTGGGTAAAGATATCAAGTTGATTTAACGGCAACATATTTGACTTTGGCAGTATGTCAAGTGAGTCCAAAGTATTACTGTCCCTCCTAAATGTTACTTGAAGTTTACACGTAGAATAAAACAATACAATGATACTCTTTTACTTTCTGCTGATCAAATCACATATGAACTATTCAGTTATAAGCATCAATTTTAAAGAAGAACCTTGACAAACTGGATAGCTTTTTGGTCTAGAGAATGGAAAATTTAGTAACAAAATTATAGTCATATACAAAAACTTGACAAATTTGAAGTCATTCATTCATTTGTTCATTCAACAAATATTTTCGGTTCTAGAAACTGGGATATTTCAGTGGCCAAGAAAAAGTCCATGCACTAACAGTGCTAACTTCCAGGAACAAAGATTTATGTGTATGGATATATACCCTACCTAATTCCAAAAAAGGCTTAAGTTGGCTTACAAGTTATATAAAGTATGAAAGAAGACATAAAATATGAGCAGCTTGCAAAGAGGAAGCCAAAGAAAAATAAGATTACAGACAGACAGGGAGTTGAATTAGGATCAAGAGGTATAATCAATTTCCTATCACTGAAAGGTATTCACAAACATAGATGAATGACCACACAGTATGACACAAATAGGACAAATGATAATGATCACCACCTAACCTTACATGGCATTTAGTACTATTTTAAGAGCTTTACATCTTTTAAAAAGTTATTATTGTCTTTATTTTACAGATATCACAGGCACAGAGACCTGAAGTACCTTGAAAAAAGTTACAAAACAGAGGTCCCAGGATCCAAATACAAGAAGTTCGCCTTCAAGCAAGTCCACAGAAGCAACACAATCTCATTTAAGAATATTTTTTAAAGTCTTCTAAATGTAAAGATTTTTTTTAATGACATTCATCTCAAATTTTTGAAATATTATGTTCTCTCTGTATGTTTTTGCCATAACAGAGCCTAATTTAGCTTTACAAGCAATTAGTCCCTCTGATAAACTCTAACCTTGAACTGACCTAGATAGTCTCTCTGATTAAAAGCTAGTTTCGGCCGGGCTCGGTGGCTCAGCCTATAATCCCACGCCTTTGGGAAGCTGAGGTGAGTGGATTACCTGAGCCCGCGGGTTCGAGACCTGCCTGGGCAACTTGGCTAGACCTCATCTCTACAATAAATCAAAAATTAGCCGGGTGTGGTTGCGCATGCCTGTAGTTCCAGCAACTTGGAAGGCTGAGGTGGAAGGATAGCTGGAGTCCAGCAGGTCGAGGTTGCGGTGGCCGGGAGCAGCCACTGCACTCCAGTCTGGGCGACAGAATGAGACTCCAACTCAAAATAAATAAATAAATAAATAAATAAATAAAAGTTAGTTTCACTTTTGTGTATGAAGCCACCTCAACTCCTTCAACTATTTCTGGTTTGTGAACTGAAACAGCTACAATACTGGCTAAGAGATGGGCTCTGAATGCAGACTTTCGGACTCAGATTCTAGCTGCACCACTCACCGGCTGTGCTACTTAAATGAAGCTGTTTATCTCGGTCAGCCTCAGTTACTTCATCTCAAAAAATGGGAATAAAAGTTTCCTAATAGGATTATTGAAAGGATTAAATAAGATAATTGGGTCTTAAGTACTTAGGCACAACAGCAGGCATACAGTTAGTAGTCCATTAAGGTAAACTGTTACCAGCTTTCTAACAACCCAACTTTCAGCTAAAAAACGTAGTCACCTAGTCCAAACTTTTGAAGTCCCATGAAACTTAGCCAGCTTAAGTCTTATGTTTCTAGCAAAAGTAAATTTATTGTATATTACGTACTCTATCAGATACTACTTGGAGATTTATCAAAACCAACTCAAACATCATTTTACCATGCCATAGTCTTACTGAAAAACTCCCTTTTATTCATGATTATATGTCCAACTGACTTAAGTCAGTCACTAATATGAACATGTAGATCAATGATTCGTAACGCATAGGAGGTTCCCCAGAAATAAACCATATTTAAAAAATTAAAAGGCTTGAAAATCAATAATACGGGCACTTACTGATGGAACCAATAGAAGCAGATAGAAGCTTATACCTGTAAGCCTTTTAATAAATCTGTGGAAGAATGTGTGTATTCTAAAATTGCAGAGCACCAAATAATTTTTTAGACTAATCTCCTCATCCAGATGCAACTACTTTAGCAGAGTCTGGTATAACCAAGTACCATTAAATGTGTAAATAACAGAGATGGGGGGTGGGGGAAGGTCGGTCTTTAAAGGAATTAACAATTAATATCTGTAATTCTAACAATCAGACTCTGTTATGTAAAGCTTGAATTTCCATCTTTCACAGTCAAAAGCACAATACTCCTTTCTATATATCATTTAATTACAAAGGAGTACAGTTATGGCTCTCTGGACTTCATTGCCAGAAGTAGTAAAAATATTTATTGCAGATGTAGAGTGGGCCTGTGTGTTCTAGAGAGCATTGTTTTTTTCTTACCTTTATTATAATTTTTAATAAGTTAGTGTTAAAGAGACTAACTGCTGAAGGGGACTATTTATTCACTTGTAATGAGTGGTTCAACAACTAAAGCACGTGAGAAAAAGTAGAAACAGTGGACTTTTATTATTTAAACAATTTTTTCAACAAACCTATGGAGAACTCTTGTGAAGCATAATTGTCCTCTTAGAAAGAAAATAAAGATAATGAGGTTAATCAACACAACCAAGGTCACATACAAGTATGTGGCAGAGCCAGGACTCTAATCTAGACTGGAGCATGCACTTAAAACACCTTGCTATGAAGTCAGAGGTGTGGACTTACGAAGGCAACAGAGAGTGGATGTTTATAGTAGTTCAATGAAGAATAAAATGAAGAAAGACAATGATTTCTGTGGGTAAGAAATGAAACATCTGGAGGAAGAAAAACCCATGGTGAACAAAAACAACTATTTTAAAAGTTATTTTAGCTAAAAGTGGACAATTCCGAAGGTTCAAATACAGGAAAATTAGCAGAAAAATGCTAAAAATAATTTAAAAAGCAAAGGAAGTGATGCAACAAAGCTGAAAAAGCTACATTAAAAACAAAGCTAAACACCAAAAAATCTGTTCTTTAAAGGTATGCCAAATCACTATGACAACAGCATAAACGAGAAAGATAAACCAATTGAGACTTCCATAAATTTGAATGTCATGATGACACTCTATTTGCACAGTTAAGGGTATTCCTTTCCTACAGGCCTCCTTTTAAAAAATCTAAAATGTATTGCCACTGTGAGAGAAGTGTTCCATAATGGTGCATGCTACTCAAGACTCAGTCTTAAGTGAATTGATGTAAAATAAATATTATTGTTGAGCTTTTTAAATAGCAATAACTTTTATTTACATAGAGTGAATAAACTTGACTGAATAAAAAATGAAATACAAAATGCAGTCTAGGAAATATACTGTCTTCTAAAAACTAAGGATTATAAATACTGGCAATTTTGGCTCAGCCTGTAATCCCACACTTTGGGAGACCGAGGTAAGTGGACTGCCTGAGCCCGCAGGTTCGAGACCCCACCTGGTCAACTTGGCGAGACCTCATCTCTACAATAAATCAAAAATTTAGCTGGGGGTGGTAGCGTGCACCTGCAGTTCCAGCTACTTGGGAGGCTGAGGTGGAAGGATTGCCGGAGCCCAGCAGGTTGAGGTTGCAGTGGCCGGGAGCGGCCACTGCACTCCAGTCTGGGTGACAGAGTGAGACTCCAACTCAAATAAATAAATAAATAAATAAATAAATAAATAAATACTGGCAATTTAGTACCTCTTGTTTATATTTTACAGTGAGTCTTTAAATATCTTAATTTGAAATCTTAGATTATTACTTAGGATCATATGGAATGATTCAGTGTTCATTAACTAGATCAAACTGTTCAATTATTAACCAGCTTGATTTCTTTTCAGCTTGTTGCGTTGGACACACTCTAAACTTGAAAACATTTCTCAGAATGCCTAAATTAACTCCCCAGCTGCAGGTTCTTCTATTTATCAGCTACTGTCACAAGGAAGGTTTCTACAATGCTATCTCTTATTTAATCTAAAACCCTTTTTATGTGTTATCTCCCTATGCATGATTTAGCATTCCCTCCCAAACTTTGGATTCGTTAGTTTTCATTAAATCTCCAAAAACTTAGATCTCCTTAGATACTACTTAATCCAGAAACCCTTCCCAGTATTCAAAGATGGTCTTTCTCTGAATTCCCGTTACAGCTATTATACAACATTATAGACCAAATGTCTGTGACTTCCAAAATTCATATGTTGAAGCCCTCATCCCTGATGAGAAGGTATTAGGAAGTGGGGACTTTGGGAGGAAAATAGTTTGGATAGGGTCATGAGGGTGGAGCTCTTATGATGAGATGAATATCCTTATAAGGGGAGGAAGTGTCACCAGAGCTTCCTCTCTCCACCATGTGAGGATACAATAGGAAGGCTGCCAACTGCAAGCCAGAAAGACGGAAGTGGATCTCTGTGACCTGATTAGATCCACTTCTGTGGTAGAGCCCTCATAAATTAAATGCCCTTATAAAAGAGTCCTGAAGGAGATCTTGCTCCTTCCACAGTGTGAAGATACAGGAAAAAGATCCCATCTGGGAACCATAAAATGGGTCCTCACCAGACACAGCACCTGCTGGCACCTACACAGTAGACTCCCAGTCTCCAGGACTGTGAGAAATAAATGTCTGTTGTTAGAGCCACCCAGTTTATGGTATACTGTAAGAGAAGCCTGAGCAGGGTTGGGACACTTTTGCTGAAAGCATTTAAAGGCACAAGCATTGGTTGCTGCAGCATATGGCAAAAGACAAAACTTGGGACAAGCAACAGACAGACCTGGAAGCCTGATAAAGAATAAGTAGGGAAATATGCGTAAGTGTAAGGGATTTTCAAAGCTCCCTATATGGGAAATCAAGAAAGCAATATGCAGGCCCAGGGCATGTTGCATGCTCAGAAAAGGTCCAAGAGGACTCTCTGCTTTCACCTGCAACTCACCTTTAGGCTCCACAACTTGGAGAGACCTTGTCTCTACAATAAATAAATTTTTAAAAAAACTAGCTGGGCGTGGTTGCACACGCCTGTAGTTCCAGCTACTTGGAAGGCTGAGGCGGAAGGATAGCCGGAGCCCAGCAGGTCGAGACTGTCGTGGCCAGGAGCGTGCCACTGCACTCCAGTCTGGGCGACAGAGTGACTGGAGTCAGCTCTGCAACTCAAAAAAAATTTAAAAAATAAAAAATAACTTGTTCACTTAAAGAGCAAAAAAAATGCTAGTAGTATGTAAACAGATTAGAATAGAAAAGAACTACTAGCTGGTTATTCATCTAATAAAATGATATAACAAGAGTCTGTAACAAACGAGGATGGAGAAGAAAATCAAAGATTGAGCAAACCAGACTAGTCAGAGACAATGTAAACCTGAGAACGAGACATCTCTTTTATCCAATTCATCAATTACTTTCCCACTTGAGCTCTCTTTCTAAAACACAGGTGTCACAGGTTCGCACAAGGAAAGACCCTGTGATTTTCTAAAGAAAGACCAATTGTCTTAAAAGCACTTGCAATCCTACAAGTTCTGACCTCATCCAATACTCCTTCCTACGCTCACTTTGGTCACGTTCTTCCATGTGACCGCTGTTTTACTCTCACATTTCCTTGTTTGTACTCATACATAGGTAAATATATTTACATAGATACATGAACAAAAACCTCTCCATTTCTGAATCTGTCAAACCTTTAGATATCCCTTTAAGGTTCTAATTAACCTTCATCTCCCTGGTAAGGCTTTCTGAAACATTTCTTTTAATGAACAGTACCTTCCTCTCTGATCCCACACTTTCATGGGATCTACTATATTACCATGTATTATGTTTAATATGACTTATTATATAAGACAAAGGGGTGAAATTTTAAAAAGTCCTTTAAAATATAAGCCAGTTATGAATATAGCACTGGTTCTCAAAGATAAACAATTTTAACCAAGAATTACCCACCCAGCTAAGAAGTTTCATCAGTGATGGAAAATTAAAATCCTTCCCAGACATTTAATCCCTGAGAATTTATGCTGCCTCCAGACCAGCTCTACAAGAAACACTTAAGAATTAAACACAGAAGAAATGAAAAAAAGAACATCAACACCCTTCCCAAGAAGGTTGGAAAAAGAGTGAAAACACACATGAATCAAGCCAAAAACCAAAAGAAAGACAACAAACAAAAAGCAGCAATAAAAACAAACTCTGTAAGAACCTCATGACAGAGATAAACTCTCACATCTCAATAATAAGCCTGAATGTGAATGGCCTAAATGCATTACTGAAAAGACATAGAATGGCAAATTGGATAAAATATCATGAGGCTACAATATATTGTCTCCACGAGACTCATCTCACCAGAAAGGATACTCACAGACTCAAAGTAAGAGGATGGGAAACAAAATTTCAGGTGAACGGAACACAAAAGAAAGCAGGAGTTGTGATCTTAATGTCAGACAAAATATCCTTTAAGCTAACAAAAATTTAAAAAGATATGAAAGGTCACAACATAATGATAAAAGGTTCAATCCATCAACAAGGAATATCCATCCTAAACATATATGCAACCAACATAGGAGCACCAACTTTCATAAAACAGCTTCTAGGTAAACTAAAAAAGATACTGACTCTAACACTATCATAGCTGAGGACTTAAATACCCCACTAACAGGTATACAGATCATCAAGATAAAAAGTAAACAAGGAGATCCAGACCAAATGGACTTAACTGATGTTTGACTAAATGAACTTAACTGATACCTACAGAACACTCCACCCAACAACCACAGAATATACAGTCTACTGATAAGCACATGGAATTTAACCTGAGGTCGACCACATCCTTGGCCATAAATCAAGCATAAACAAATTCGATGAGACTGAAATTCTGCCATGCATCTTCTCAGACCACAGTGGAATAAAAATAAACATCAACACCAACAAAATTCCCCCAAAGCCCACAAAGGCATGGATGCTAAACAGCATGATGCCAACAACTCCTGTGTCAACACACAAATCAAAAGAGATTAAAAGATACCTGGAAACTAATGAAAATGAAGAAACATCCTACAAAAATCTCTGGGAGGCTGTTAAGGCAGTACTAACAGGGGAATTCATACCTCTACCAAAACACATGAAGAAAATGGAAAGATCACAAGTTAACAAATCACCTAAGAAAGCTGGAAAGCAGGAGCACCAAAACCCTAACTTCAGCAGAAGAATATAGATCACCAAAATAAAAGCCCAAATTGGGGACACAGAAAACAAAAATAAAACACAAAAAAATTAATAAAACCAAAAATGGGTTTTTTGAAACAATAAACAAGATTGATGGACCCCTAGCTAGACTGACCAAGAAAAAGAGAGAGAAAGCCCAATAAACACAATCAGAAATGCAAGAGATCAAGTCACAACTCACCCTGAAGAAATACAAAAGGTTTTCAGAGATTACTATGTACAAACTGTATGGAAACAAACTTGAAAACCTAAAAGAAATGAAAGACTTTCTTACATCACACAACCTCCCCAGGTTGAAAGAAGAAGAAATCAAGACCCTAAATAGACCAATAACAACCCAGGAAATTAACTATATTATAAGAAAACTACCTACAAAATAAAGCTCTGGACCAGATGGATTTCCAGCAGAATTCTACAAAACATACAAAGATGACCCAATACCAATCCTATTAAAAGTATTCCAGGCAATCAAGGAAGACGGAACTCTCCCCAAATCATTTTATGAAGCTAACATCACATTGACACGCAAACTGGGTAAAGATCCAACAAAGAAAGAGAACTACAGGCCAAGAAGTATCCCTTATGAACATAGATGCCAAAATTCTCAACAAGATTCTAGCAAACCAGATCAAACAACACATTCTCAAAAATCATCCACCATGACCAAGTGGGCTTCATCCCCAGAATGCAGGGCTAGTTCAACATCCACAAGACCATAAATGTAATTAAATACATCAACAGATGTAAAGACAAAAACCACATGATTTATCATTAGACACAGAAAAAGTTTTTGATAAAATCCAGCACTCCTTCTTGAGAAAAGCCCTTGAACAATGAACAACTAGGCATTGATGGAACATAGCTCAAAATAGTAGCAGCCATTTGAGAGAAACCCACAGACAGAAATTCGAGCCATTTCCCCTGAAAACCAGAACAAGACAAAGATACTCACTCTCACTCCTCCGTTCAATGTAGTACTGGAATTGCTAGCTAGAGTAATCAGACAAGAGAAGGAAATCAGGGGTATCCAAATAGGAAAGGAGAAGTTACATCATCCCTCTTTGCAGACGACATGATTCTATACCTCGAAAACCCAAGAGAATCTGTCAAAAACCTCCTTGCACTGACAAAGGACTTTGGCAAAGTCTCACGTAATAAAATAAATGTGCGACTCAGTTGCATTCCTATACACCAAAAATAAACAAACAGAAACCCAGATAAACAGCACAATCCCATTCACAATAGTCACATACATAAACCAAAAAGAAATACCTTGGCATCTTCCTAACCAGAGAAGTGAAAGAATGTTACAACAAAAACTACAAAACATTGCTCAAAGAAATCCAAGATGACACAAACAAATGGAAAAATATTCCATGCTCATGGATTGGAAGAATAAACATTGTTAAGATGTCCATTCTACCCAAGGCAATCTACAGATTAAAGGCAATACCCTTTAAATTACCAACGTAATTCTTCTCAGACCTAGAAACGACAGTACAGGAATTCATACAGAAACATAAATGACCACAAATAGCCAAAACAATCCTCAGCAAAAGAAACAAAGTGGGAGGCATCACGCTTTCAGACTTTAAGCTTTATTATAAAACCACAATAATCAAAACAGACTGGTATTGGTACAAGAACAGGCATACAGACCAATGGAACAGGATAGAGATTCCGGAAGCAAAATCTCAATTTCTCAACCAACTCATTTTGGTGAAAATCTCCACCATCAGCCACTGAGGAGAGTAGGACCTATTCAGTAAATGATGCTGGGAAAACTGGCTGACAACATGTAGAAGATTAAAACAAGATCCCTACCTATCTCCATATAAAAAAATCAACTCTAAATGGACCAAAGACCTGAACGTAAAACCTCAAACTATTAGAATGTTAGAAAATACAGGAGATACCCTTACGGAAATTGGAATTGGCAATGAATTCATGATCAAAAATCCAAGTGCCCATGCCATCAGAGATAAGATCGACAAGTGGAACTTCATCTTACTGACACAAGCTTCTGCAAAGCCAAAGAAACCATTGAGAGAGCAGGGAGACAGCCCACAAAATGGAAAAAAAAAATATTTGCCAATTATATATCTGACAAAGGCCTAAAACTAGGATCTACAAGGAACGCAAATGTGATGAAAAGAAAAAAGAAAAAACAGCCCCATTATGAAGTGGGCAAAAGAGATGAATAGACACGTCCCATAAAAAGACATACAAGTAGCCATGAAAAAATGCTCAACCTCACTAGTCATCAAAGAAATGCAAATTAAAACCACACTGAGATACCACCTAACTCAGGATGGCCATCATCACTAACTCAAAAACCAACAGATGCTGGAGAAGATTTGTCGAAAAGGGAACACTGCTCCATTGTTGGTGGGAGTGTAAACTAGGATAGCCTCTGTGGAAAACAGTGTGGCGATTCCTAAAAGATCTAAAAATTAACCTCCCATACAACTCCACAATTCCCCTACTTGGAATATTCAGAGGAATTCAAATCACACTATGAAAAAGATACCTACAGCCAAGCTCGGTGGCCAAGCCTGTAACTCCAGCACTTTGGGAGGCCAAGGCGAGTGGATTGCCTGAGTCTGCAGGTTCAAGCCCAGCCCAGGCAACCTGGCGAGACCTCGTCTCTACAATAAATAAAAAATTAGCCAGGTGTGGTAGCATGTGCCTGTAGTTCTAGCTACTTGGAAGGCTGAGGCAGAAGGATCGCGGACTCCAGCAGGTCAACGCTGGGATGCTACTGTGAGCGTGCCACTTGCACTCCAGCCTGGCGACGGAGTGAATCTCAAAAAAAAAAAAAATTGAAAAGAAAAAAGAAAAAGATACCTGCACACACATGTTTATTGCAGCATTATTTATACTAGCACTAACATGGAACCAACCATGCTGCCCACTGAAAGATGACTGGATAAAATAATGTGTTACATATACACAATTGGGAATATTACACAGCCATAAAGAAGGGCAAAATTATGAACTTCGCAGCAACTTGGATGAACTTAGAGGCTATAATACTGAGTAATCTATCACAGAAACAAAGAACCGAGTATCACATATTCTCACTCATAAACAGATCTTGAACAACTATCGTAATACTATAAGAAAGGGATTGACAGTAGTGGGAAACTGCCAGGGGAGGGCAGGGGTAGGAGTGGCAGTAGTGGGAAACTGCCAGAGGAAGAGGGGCACACCTCATAAACAAGGGTACCTGCATAATGAACATTTTTTTAGCTAACCCTGAACTGTACCCTACATATTTAAAGTAAAAAATTATAAAAATAAACTTATCAAAAAATGAAAAGAATATAGCACAAGGCAGTAGTATAATTTCTCATCTT